GGATCCGGGAGGCCGAGCGCAGGCAGCGGGAGACAGTGCGGGCCGCCCTGCAGGTTGGTGAGCTGTATCCTGTCCTGGAGGGGAGAGGGGAGGGGGCTGCGCCAGCAGCGGGGGGGGCCCGGTCTGCTCAATGCCAGAAATATTGTCGCTTTTTCCTGAATCGCACCCAGCTTCAGGAAGAGGCAGAGCTTTGTGCAGGACCGTCTGTGTGCAGCCCCCCAGCAGGATCCGGAAGGTGAGAACCGTTTTCCTTAAAATCCTGCTAACCCGTGTACTGCACAACCTGGACAGCAGCTGAAACTGTCCTTGCCAGGATTTTCCCCCATTCAGATCCTTCAGAAACTTTTACCTAGACTCCAGTAAGCACCCACAGAGATGACTCTCCTGGCCACACATTCATGAGCACAAACCACCACAACCACCATGATAACATACAATCCTTTTAACATTATTGTGCCCTGAGAACAAATTCTCCTTTTCCTTCTGACTCCAAACACAAACTCTGCTAAGAAACCACTGGATGATCATTGCCTGCCTGGCTTTGACCATCACTCACCTCTCAAGCTGCCATGTGGCTCCTGCCTTCCAGGGACTTCTCTCAGGATGTGGAACAGCCTGGCCCAAGCAGGATGCAGACAGGACCCAACTTAAACTGGATGGAACCAGGCCAGGCTCTGACCTTCATTGGCCACCAGGTAGGAGTGAGTGGCTAATGAGCACAACTTCAATAGCTGCACATTATATATAGCACCTGTGACAAACGAGGCTGCAGCCCCTCCCTGGAAAAGCCCGCTGTGCATGTTCATAGCTGAGAGTTTCAGTCATCATTGAGCAAACGTTCTTTAACATGCACCAAAAATCAAAATGCTCCTTAAAGAAAGTAAAGAGCCTCCACCTCTGTCTTGTAATAGAATTTGATACTGGAAGGGGATGTATGTAACACCATTCTGTTTAGAAATACTTTTAAAAGCATCAGTTTCTTACCAGTGCTTCATGTTTCTGTTAACAGGAAACAGAGGGGAAAGGAAACGTTCACACAGGTAATCACACCAGCTCCATGTCTCATTTGGTTACCACCCTATGGAAAACTCCTGGCTTGCAAATACAACAGGGATAACTGAAAGCAGTTCTGAAGCAGGGAACTGTCTTGCCAACATTTCACATACTAAAGGAGAAGAAAACACTTCGGCATTACGAAAATCCTGTTGGTGCTGCCTGTGCAGAGTGCACAGTTCAGGGTGGGATCTGCAAGCCAACTTCCCTGCCTGAGAGGTCACATTTTACTTTTCCCCTTGCTCCTGCTACGCAGGGCCAGCTCCAGGGCTGGAGAAGAGAGGACTATCTCGAGCTGTGCACTTTCGATAAACACAGTCGCTAAGTTTTTATATATATATACATATTAAAAATTTTTTTTTCGTTGTGACTTCCTTAGGAGCAAAACCTCCATGGCTGACAGAGGAAGAGGATGGAAGTAAACAAGAAATTGGACCTTCATATGAGGAATTTCTCAAACAAAGTGAGCGGCTTGTATATGTCTCAGTTAACTGTGCATTCCCTTCACTGCACTACAGAATCAAAAGCAGTTTGACTAATTTAAGTTTTGCTGCACATATTTTTTTTAGAAGAGAAGCAGAAGCTGAAAAAGCTCCCAGCAGAGCGTGTTGGTGCCAGCTTTGACCATACCTCTCAGACAGGTGACAGCTGGCTGCCTTCCTTCGGGCGTGTCTGGAACCACGGCAGGAGGTGGCAGTCCAGGTGAGGAGCAGGGTCTGAGGGTGCGCGGCTTCGTTCCACACCCGATCCCCGCGAAGCAGGCTTGGCAGCAGCAGCACGTGTCTTACCACACACTGTTCTGGAGCTGCATGACTTGCCAGGTGAAGCACGTGAAGACACAGTGCAGACACTGTGCCTGGCTCAGCCCCGCACGCGTGTGTGGACTTGTCCGCTCATGCTCTGCAGGGCGCTGAGTCTGTGTCAGCAGACAGGAGACTGCTACAGTGCCAGGGTAACTAGAAAGTGACCGAGACCTGCTGCTCTGAAGCACCACACATAACTGTCTTACTCCTTAGGTGAAGCAGCATTTGTTACCTCTCTACATGCTGTTGTATTCTGACTCCTATGCTCCCTTTCAGGCATCAGTTTAGAACTGAATCGGGGGAAAAGAAGAGAAAAAGGTGATCACAAGAGGAGCACTGAAGAAACCAAGCTCCAAATGTTGTGCAGAGGTAGACTGGAGCTAGCTGCAGCTGTGTCAGTGCTGCTGCCAAATCTAGCTCACTTGTTAAGTCATGTCAGTATGTCAGCGTGCCCTGGTCCCTGGGAGGCAGGGTGGCCACAGGGTATCCTGAGGTCAGCACTCCTACTCGTATCCTGCTGGATCCTCTCCCCCTGAACTGGATGGACACACCGTCTGGGCATCCTTCTGCAGGTCTGGGGCTACACAAGGGCAGATCCTGCCTGTGCTGCATCTTAAAGCACATGCTGCAGTGTCCTATGCTGATGTGTAGCATGACATCCCATTAAAGAAATAAATTTTTGAGAAATAAAAAGGTTGTTTTAAAAAAAAAAAAAAGTTACCTGTGTTAGTAGTTCAACACTTCCCCACTAGACAATGACCTGACAGATGCTGTCACCTTGTGAACAGAGATCTGTGGGCACAGCTTGTTTAGACAAGTTTAGATAAATAACGAAAATAACCCACTGGCGTCTTCCCAACCTACAATGCCAAAAATGTGCTTCAGTTTCTGTCCTGCTCCAACCAAATACAGTTTTAACATCACCAGCTGCTGTAGGGGATGGAAAAGTTCCTTCCCTTTCTGCAATAAAAGAATATATCCGTAGTACATTCCCAACACTACAAATGCAAAACCTCACTAGTAGATCCACCACCTGTACCAGAACCCACTCTCAATAATGAAACTAACACGTTCTTGGAAAAGCAAGACAAATTATTTCAGTAAGTTTATTGTGTGCATCTACTTATGACACGATGAGGTCACTGGAGAACCTGCAAAGCAAGAAGTCCCAAGTCACACAACCAGACCAGAACAAGCTGCCTGGAAGCCCTGCTCCAACAAGAACACCCCTTTGCAAGGGAGGTGACACAGCCCACGCACACTGCAGCCCAGAGGCAGGGGAGTGCACATGTGGCTTCCCCATCCAACAAGCAACAGGACAGAACAGCAAACTGCTCTTCAATTCTGGAGAGCCAATGCTTCCAGCAATGCTGCCACACACCCACAGCAGCACAGGCACTGCCCACCACAGTACATGCTGAGAACCCCTGGACACACAGCCCCCCCCACAGAGCCCCCCACCTCACCTCCCTACGCATCCTCCCCGGCTGCAGGCGCATCCCCGCCTTTCGTGTTCCTGGTGTAGATCACTTGGGCTCGGTGCTTGGACACCAGTTTGATCAAACCTGGAAAGAAACAGAACTTTGAGCACGTACGTGTGCTGGGGGACACCGGGGATGCCCCTTCTGGATGCTCCCCTCTACAGCAGCACAGGACACACAGCAGGACACACCAGAGGCTCATCAAAACTGATTTGCATCCCTCCCATGCAGCACAAAATCATCTATACGACCAAGGAGAAGATAACAAGAAGCTTTCAGTTTTGAGCACTCACCTTTGCTGAGGAGCTCCTGGAGAGCAGCCCGAGCTAGGGAGCCCCGAATCTTCAGCCTCTCTGAGACAACTGCAGGTGTGATAAGCTTGTAGTTGGGCACTTCTTTGCACAGTTTGTCATAGGTGGCCTTATCAAACAGGACAAGGTTGTTCAACTTGTCTCTCACTTTCCCCTTGGACCATTTCTACTCGAAAAGAAAAAAAAAACACTAAGCCATCTTCTAAGCAAGAAAAAAAGACTAAGCTTTGGGATGGCCTGAGAACTGCACCCTGTAGTATCCCACCCTGGACTGGAGGACTAATGCGATGCACAAATGGCTCTTTATAGAAATACGTGTTGCAGATAACACCTACAGTATGTCTAAGGAAAACGAGTAAAGCCTTTTCCTAATCAGATTTAATTTTATGATGTGCAACTGACTGCCAGATGATGAAACGGCTCCTCCAACACCACGATGCCCCCCCACCACGGCTGTGCCAGGAGCACCCAGACACCCACGCGGAAGGCCCGGGGTACCCCAGCAGCCTCCTCCGAATCCCTCCACCCGGTTTTCACGGCAGAGCCGCGGCTGGGGGCCTGTCCCCAGCCAGGTCGCCTCCGCCCGCTCCTACCTTCTTCTTGGCTTTGCCGCCAGACTTGTTGACCGGGTCCTTGTCCTTTTTGGCGGACTTGCCCGCGTCCTTCTTCTTCTTATCGTCTTTGGGCGGCTACGAGGGGGAAAAGGAAGGAAGAGTCAGCGTCGGGGAGCGGGGTGGAACCCCGGGCCCTGCACCCTCGGGGGCCCCTTCCAGCGCTCACCATGGCGCGGCGGCTGCTCCGCAAGATGTCGGCCGAGAAAGGAAGCGCCCGGCGCGCGGCGTGGGAAGGCCCCGCGGCCTCGCGCTCGGCGTGACGTCAGTTCCGGCGCGGGGCGGGGCCGCCATGGCGATCTTCAGCGTCTACGTGGTGAACAAGGCGGGCGGCCTCCTCTACCAGCTGGACCACTATGCGCCCCGCGCCGACACCGAGAAGACCTTCAGCTTCCCGCTCGACCTCGTCCTGCGCCCGCACGACGAGCGCGTCGTCGTCGCCTTCGGCCAGCGCGACGGCATCCGCGGTGAGGGCCGGGCTGGGGCGAGCGGGCCGGGCGGGCCGACAGAGGCC